TGAGGTGTCCAGGGGTCTGTACAACAGGGACCCAGCCCCCCGAGTCTCTCTGGGCCACCCAATTTATATCATTTGATTATCACGCTCATCTTCTCAGGGTAGACATGGCACAGGTGGAGAAACGGAGGCCCACAAACGGACCACTTGTCTGGGCTCACATAGCTGAGACCCATCCCCAGGATTTCTGAGACTTGGTCTCCCACGCTCTGTCCAAATGTAAGGAAGAATGAAGGCCACTTTCACCATGTGCTCCTCACTGTGAGTTCTTCCATCCCCCCTCAACCCATCATCTTTCCACCCTTCCACCCTTCCACCCACCTACCCATCCACCCATCCACCCAGCACCCATGCATCCATCCACTCGTCTACCCATGCACCCATCAACCCATGCATCCCTTTACCCATCGGTCCATACACCCATCCACTCATCCATGCATCCTTCCACCCATGCACCCACTCAGGCATCCATGTGTCCATACACCCATGCGTCTCTCCACTCATCTGTCCATGCACCCACATGCCCATGCATCCATGCGCCCTGCACCCATCCACCCGGGCAACCATTGTGCCACATCCTTCGTGTACCAGGTCTGGGCTGGGTGCTGGAAACTGAGAACCACAGGCCAGCTGCCCTCGCAGTGAGTTCAGGCCGGCAGAGGAGCCCGACCAAAAACAAACACAAAAAGTGAACACATTCCCTGGTGCTAAGAGCTGGGGGAAGCAGCCCAGGATGCTGTAAGCAATGGAACAAGGACAGTCTCTCTGGGGCTATTCTCCAGGCCCCAGGGAGCTACGAGGCAGAAAACCTACAGAGACAGCCCCATGGGTTTGGCCTCAGGGGACAGAGCCTAAGAGAAAATGATGACTGAGGACCCAGTAGAGCCAGCTGGCTCGGTGATGAGGCCGCAGCCAGCTGACCTGACCCCTCCAAGGAGACAGATCTTTGGGCCTTGACTGCCGCAGGGGGTGGGAGGGTCTACTGAAACTACCCCAGATCCACTTTGTGAGCCATCCCAGCTGGTACCTGAAGCTTCCCAGAGCCATATCAGAGCTTCAGGAGAAATAACGAGAGGTTATTTCGGGAGAAGGAACAGCAGGAGGACCAGTGGAGGTGGAAAGAGAAAGGCAGCCCAGGAAGGCGGAGCACGGAGAGGGAAGGAGAGCTGGTCCTGTCAGCCGGGTTTCGTGGAGTCCTGGGGAGCCTCGACTCCCACCATAGCACAGTAATTGCTGCCATGGTGAAAGCAGCCCCTGAGGCCAGAAAGGATCAGATGTGGTCTCGTTCTATCCCCGCTAGATCCAGTAAGATCACAACTGCTGTTATTCCACTTTGCAGACAGAAAAATCAAGGTCAGGAGGGGCTAAATGTGTTGGCCAAAAGTACTGAATTGGTAAGCAAAGGACCAGGAGGCAATCCCATGGCCTTAGGGTCGCCCTATTGCGCTCTGGAAATACTGGAGGAAATCTGCCCCGGGGATGGGCAAAGGCCATGCTGGTGCCCTCCGTGGGCCTGTCCGTCTCTCCTACTACGCTTAGTGCCCATTCCCCTCCACCGCAGAGCTTCCCGTGACACTGGGCACAGGACTGGTGCCTCGGAAATACCACGGATGCAAACACTGAAACGCGTTCACTCCGGGCCATGTCACCGCGACCCATTTCCGAGATGGGGAATAAGTAAGTGCGGAAGCTGCGATGGACCAGAGGTGGACTAGAGAATGAGCGAGTGAGCGTGAGACACGGTGAGCGACAGTGACAGCCTGACGGGACAGAAGGAGCGAAGGTGAGGGGTCGGTCTCAGAGGCCGAGAGGGTGGCGGCCCTCCTCCCGTCAGCACCTGCTCCACCTCCAGCTCTTTCCCCCTTGCCGGGCCGTTGCCTAGCAACACTGCCCTGGCCTGGCCAGCCCTACTCACTTCAGTCTGCCCAGGCTGAGGGTGAGCAGCCAGCCCTAAGGGCCTGGCCTCTGGCAGGCAGGGTGTCGGGGGCCCCAGGCTCCCAAGCTGGGAAGAGGGAGGTCAGAGCCTGGGAGGCTGGATGGATGGCTGCCGGGCCTGGGAGGGGACCCACGGTGATCAGGCAAGGCTCTGAGGACCATTTAGTCCAAAGGCAGGCTGCCTGGTGCAGGGCAGGAGGGGAGGCTCCCGTAGCGCGGAGCCGGAACCACAGCCCCTGAGTCTCAGGTCCTGGGTTGGAGGCAGTCGTGGAATCACTCCCCCTCCTCATCTGTAGATTGGGGACACAGTGCTCCTGCCCAGGCAGGCCGGTGTGAGGACAGAAGGGAACACAGGAAGGCTTTGGCCTGGGAGGATGCAACTAATTTAATAAACAAGGAGTGTGCAGTCTGTCTCTCGAGGAGTAAGAGTCTTGGTACAAAGAACTTGCTGTCCCCACCACAAGAGGATGGGATGTGTGAGGGAGCAGGAGGCCGGGAGGGCTCCCTGAAGAGGTGGCACTGGGGCTGGCCCTGGAGGACTTCTCTGACTGCAGATGGGGGCAGAGTGAAGGAGAGCGTGCCTGGCAGAGCGAACAGCTTGTGCAAAGGCCTGGAAGCATGAGATGCAAGTGCCTCGAAAAACAGCCACTGTTTATTCACGGGCAGCCACCTTTCAGTCCTCACGCCAGCTCCATGAGGCTGGGTTTAGTGCTCCCGTATCACAGCGAAGAAAACGTGGGCTCAGAAAGGCAAAGGGACTTGCTTGAGGTCGCACCGCTGGTGACCAGGACAGCTAAGCC